AGGAATGCGCGTTTGAGGGTGGCAAATGATCAAGAAATGGAAAACAGTCCAAAAATCAAAGAGCCCGGGAAAGCTGTGAATCAGGGCCCTAAAGTCAATGGTAATGTGCGCTTCTCTTTGAAAGAAATGTATTTTGATAAGAAAGTGAAGCCGGCAGCAGGGAAGAAGGAGGTGGCAGCCAAGGAAGAGGCTGCGAGCAAGGCTGCCCAGCAGCCCGTGGCCGTCAGCAGACAGACAGAGGATGCTCCATCGTCCTCAAAAGTGTCAGAGGCAGGACCTGTGCCGTCCGAGGGACAGAGAGGCCAACGCCAAGCGCAGAAGTCAGAGGGAAACAAAGCCGTCGGTCCAGAGGTAACTAGGAGCCAACGTGGGGGTTGCAATAAGAAAACACTCATGACGCACAGTTGTAGTGTGGCACCAGCCCTGGGAGGCTGTGTGTACCCCATGGGAGCTGCTGCCGAGGCTTCGTAGGTCTCCACTGGCAGAAGCAAGCAGGAAAAAAGGCTTGCTGGGCTTTGTGCACCCAGACAGCAGAGCTTCCACCCCATCTCCGAATAAATGTCAGGCGAGGTGGCGAGGAGAGATGTACGTCAGGGCCCTCTGGCCGAGCAGCTGGTCTCCGGGTGGCCTGGGGCGTGCTGTGAGCTCTCCTGTTTAATCGGCAGGCTGACCTCATGCGAAATGTTTCCAAATCAGTTAAGCAGGGAGCACTGAATGGCTATTTATAGCTGGGGGTGGATGCCTTGTGCGTACAACAGGCAGCGCGACTGATGACATCTGTTCAGTTTAGCAATTGAGCCTGAGCTTCAGCAGGCGTTTAATGAGCCCCTCATGCAAATGAGCGCAGCGTGCCAGGTACACCACGCGAGCTGCACCGGGCAGGGCGTTGAATTTTGTTTACAGTGCAACATGTATACAGTAGATCTGGGCTATTTTTTGGCTCTCCCCTGTTGGAAAATCTCTGTTGCAAGACTCATTGTGGTGGTGATGCAGCGCCAGGACACAGCACCTGCTCCTGACCCTCACCGCATCTTTTAGTCAACTTCTATTTTTGTCACTTAACCTGAAGCATTTTCCATTAAAATCTTAGACTGGAAGCTACTAGTCTTTTTTTTATTTTATTTTATTTTTCCTCCTTTTTACTTTAATGACCCCTTCTGTGGTTAAAGGTTCTCTGAGTCCAATTTGCAGGTGCTGTCAGGATTTGGTGTTTGAGCTATGGTAGGTGCACGCTTTCAGTGCAGGCCAAGGCTATTCAGAGGAGGCACTCCAGGTGCAGCACGTCTTCCTCGGTAGGTAATGCAAATCCTTCAGGATGTGGAAATATCCACGATATAGAAAGTGGGACTGCTGGGTGCTCCAGTGGAAAAAGGTTCCTTTCTTCCTCTTCTAGATTTCTCTTAGGTAGGAGCACCACTTACCCGTAAGAAACCTGCTGGGTTATGCGGTGAAGCGAACATCTGGGTCGTGGACTCACCACTGTGCAGCGCCCTGAACCCATATTTAACCTGACCCGTCAGCATCATGTATTGCTGCAGAAATTATTGTTGTGCATGTGACCCCATGGGAAAGCAATTCGTTTTCTCCCTTTCTGCTCATTTTTACGCCCCTTGCTCTTAAGGAAGGTGGGAAGTGTTAGTGTGTAACAGCCAGGCTTGGGCTGTCATCCCTGAGCCTTTGACATGCATCAAGGTATTTTCCTCGTCAAAAACCCACTCACAGAGGGAAACCTGTAACTTGTCAGCTGGTGTGCCTTTGAGTCGACAAAAGGGAATGCTTTTGATTTGAATTTGAATGCTTCAGCTAGTTGGTGATGCTGGGGAAAGTGTTCAGGCTTTTGTGTGACCAAATAAGCTATTTTAAAGCACTTTAAAGCTGACTCCAAGTGGGTTTGAGGCTATTTTCACTCCCCAGGACACGAGTTGCTTGTCTTTTTCTTTTTTAGTCTTTCCCTTAAACAAGACAGGGTCATAGCATGAGTGTTTTCCTGGCTGTGGGACCTAGCTGGGCCTCATGCTCAGGACTTCTCTTTTGAGCAGGATTTGTCTGTAGCAGAAGGGCTTTGCAAAATGCCAGACTGTGGCCAGGCTCTCAACATCCTCACGCACAAGAGGAGAGAAGAAACTGGATTTGCGTAATGATCACTCTTGCCTAACTTTGAAACTGATTATTTTATTCTATTTCTTTTATATGCCCCTAGTTTGAGTGTTTTATGATTACTTCAGGACAGGTGCTTTTCTGAAAAGCTCCCAGAAAGCTTTTTCTCAATAAGCTTTAGTTCTGTAATTAGATTGGGCTGTGCCCATCCCCATCCCTTTCTGTGCCATGGAGGACCAAATACTGTGGTAAAACCCGGGGTGGGGGGTTCACTGCATTGAAGCCCATCTGTCTCTTAAAATAAAACCTTTTAAGACTGAGCACTGGCGGCTTAGGAGCACAGAGATCTTAGGAGAAAATTCCTTAGCAGCAGATCCTCTGGGATGGAAGGGGAACCTATTGTGTGACTGCCCTGTTCCTGTACATGTGGTTGTCCAGCGTGTATCAGAGGTATCGCTGCCTCCCCTGAGCCTCATCCTACAAAAATAGATAGTGCCTCTTGGCTGGAGGATTTTGCCAGATCTCCTCGGGATAAAGCCCAGCCATCACAGAGGGCAGCTTGCTGAACCGTCTGCTGGTATGCAGCTGCAGTCGGAAACACTTGAGCTTCCCGAATGTCAAAGAAACAGGATGGTCAAATAGTGCAGATAATGTCATGGTGTACAGTTTCGCTATAAATCATTTGGGCAGCCTCATCCAGATAGTGTGTGACATGCCGATTGCCCCATCTCAGAGTGGAGATCGCAGATATAGTATGGGGGAGCACTGAGTCTTAAAAAAAAAGAGTAAGGAAATTATACAAGGTCTCAGCAACGGCTGGTGAAAACAGGAAAGTTTTGCTCCTTGGGAAGGTGCCATGCTGGAGGAATGTTAATTAAAAGCTGTTGAGTGTTTCAGAGAGATGGATCTCCTGCCTTGTGCACAACCTAGGCATTGGAAGGCAGCAGAGTTGGAACTGATTAAAAGAAACGACATTTTGTGCAGCATGACAGAGGGCTGTGGGACCCACTGCCATGGGATGGTGGCGAAGTCAGGACGCCCCGGATGAGCGAGTATCAGCGATACCAGGCTAACAGGACTGAAGCAGAAGTTGAGCAGTGCCATATGGTACAGATGGACCACAAGCACCACTGAGCAGACCCAGGCAGTAAAATGATGCTAATTTTCTATTTTCTTTATTTTCTTGACTAGGTTGCAGCAACAGTGGGACAGTCTGCTGGTGACGTAAAACATCCAGTGTCTGGTCCAACCGTAGAGACTGGTCAGCAAGCCAATAAGTCAGAGGAGCTCAGGAAAGAGATGCCTGTCTGCCAGGAGACCAGGGGGGCTGGGAAAAGGACAAATCCTCGGCTGAGGCCTCGGGAGCCACCAAAGCCACCAGCACCTTCTCCAGACCATGTGCAGTCCAGCAACAAGCACCCTCCCTCTAGTAAGCAGGCAGAAGGACATTCCCATGCTCTGGAGGGCAGAGAAACCCAACAAGGACTGTTAAATCAAGAGGACAAAAGCCAAGATGAGGAAGAGCCATTGCTAAAGAAATCGAGTCCTCCAGAGCCTGGAGAAAACTCTCCTCTTGAGCAAATCACACATCAAACAGCAGTCAAGGATGGAGAGAGCAAAGAGGCAGGAGCAGAGCTGTCCAGGAGCCATCCCAGTGCAGAGGCAGGAGGGAGCAGTGCAGCAGAGTCATCTTCTGCGGCTGCGCACAGGGAGGCGGGAGGGACGCCTTTGGGACATCAGGAGACTGAAACACCAGCTCCTGCTTCAGTTCGACTTGCCAAGGAAGAACCACGTCCCGCTCCTGCAGCAGAGACATCGGTGGCTCAGGAGGCACCGCTTGCGGCTCACGGCGCCACGGGGATGGAGGCCACAGCAGGAGAGGTCCCATCTGGAGCCCAGCTGGTGCCTCCTGCAAGCAGAGAGACGGAAATCAAAAAAGCAGATGGCTCTGCCCCGCAAGAGCAGTTTTCAGCCAGCACGTTAGGGGAGGAGAGTGCCAAACCAGTGCCCGTGGGACCTGAGGGGGAGGAAGGAGGAGAGCAAACAGCCAGAGCTCCGCGCCAGGAACCGGCAGCACCTTCCGGAACTT